ATGGAGTTAGCTAGCACTTCTGTGGTTAAATATCCGGTAATTATTTCCTCGATCCATTAAGCGTTTTTTGTGTACTTGTTTACAAGCTGAAGATGGATCATCTTTAAAACTTCTTTCTGGTTTGGTTCAACCGATGCCCCCTTTTTTCCAAACAGGCATTTGGCTACTGTGTTTTGTATATTTCTATCCATTGCTCTAAATGAATGCCTTTTCACACATCTCAAGCTGTGCTTCCATCTGTCTTTCCATTTGAACTTAGTTTAACTACATAATGTTCCACTTCCTCGTCAGTACCCGGGAAACAAGCGTGAGATTTACTTCTGAGCGTTGCTGCTGCACATTCTTTTGTACCCTTTTTTGTAGGTAGTGGTTCGTTTTAAATGTTTGTGCAAGAGTAAATACTGGATGTCAGCAACACGATTGCCTCGTCACTTAAGTTTTGTTGCTTGCTTTAGTGTGAATATCTTTGTCCAGGGTCTAAGAAGCATGCTTTTAGGAGCAAATACTTGTCGATGCAAACACTCTGACAGTATTTATTAATTTTCATTACTAAAACCTACGTGCTTTGTAAAAGGTCATTACTACCCCATCGCTTGCAATCCCATTTTATTATGACTCAGGTAACGGTCTTTTCAGGTGACTTTGATTATTCCAGCTTTTGGGATTTTAAAGTTGGTTGAAATATGCTGAAAGTGCTACTGAAATATGAGGGTTTTCGTTTTGAACATTAGAAGGAAACGAAGGCTTTCAACGCGGACGAGATGAATCGCCTCTACCCCCTCCACCTGGTCGATTTTGTTTTCTGGCACTTGCCGTGACATACTGCAATTCCAAATTCCATTCTTTCTTTAGAGCTGAAATACATTGACAGGCATGAAACGGGAGCAGGTTTTCTCATCCGCCGCGGTTAGGTGCGCATAAAAATTTGCGCTGAGTGTCCCAAAGATAATAAAATGCGCTTGAAACGACTGAATGATATTAGCGAATAAATTGGCTAGGATCGCGATTGTAAGAGGACAAAATTTGGCAGCTCTCAGTGCGAAACGGACGGATAATCTCTGATCTTAATGTCAGTCCTGATAACATCTGCCCATTGTTCTAGATTTATGCAGAGCCTAGAGCATTCCACATCCCCTCCCAGCTTTGAGGGTCGCACTACCTTCGGCGTAAAATTTTATGCTCATGATTAGATACGTACAGTAATGAAACCCAGTTAATTTTGATTGCTGTAATTGCTCGTCAACCTAATATATCACTTTACTGCTGTGTGATCTTCCGGCGTGGTAATGTGTATTTCATTATAGTTTGCGTATTGGCTAATAATGGTCAGATTTTGGCCGTGTCTAACTTCTATAGTATTAACTTTTGGAATGTGGGCTGATGTTTGGTGTGGACGGGTTTGTACTGCCACCAAAAAATTTTCTGCTTCTGTGTCGCTTTGTAGAATTACACCTTATCACCAGGTTTTGCCTTGGTTCTACCGTAGAGATACAGTTGATTGTCAAGGGGTGTGCATTATGTTCTTATTTTACAATAAACTCGCTCACCATTACTTGGTGTTCTATGCATCCACTCACGCCATGAGGAATGGACTGATCCACGATATGTGCGGTGGCTGTTTGTGGAAGGACACAGCACTTGCTGCTATGTGCGTTGCAGCTGCACTCGCTAATGTGCGTAAATATGGGTTTTTGAATGTGGGTACTTCCATGGGTGGGTTTTAAACTTTGTCTAGTTGCATTTTCACTCAAGTTCGAGTAAAATCGATTAGCGCACAATGTCACTTTTACAGTGCAAGATACTGTGATTCAGCTGCAACGTTTCGTCTCCGCAATGGCTACTTACCATGAAAACTGTTATGAAGTAATGAAGGGCGCAACTATCTTTCCACTGGAAATGGATCTTTCTCGAGATGCCTTCGCGTATAAGTCGGAGATCATCAACACTGGTGAAATCGATGATGACGAAGTCATCTCCAATGACAATGACGTTGACGTTGAGGCTCTGGCTGATTTGGTATCAGCTGAGAGTAATCTAGTCGACGTGGGTTTATCTGAGGATGTTGACAAGTTGTTGGATCTGGAGGATAGTGCCCAGATGCCAAAGCCTCGGGGAGAGCAGAAAGATGTTTTCGACCTGATATCGATGGACTAGGACTGTCTCAATAACCCCTTGTCCCATAATGATTTCTCTTTGACCTATCCTCCCTCTTATTCTTCATATTATTGGGATTATTTGTGGTATTCTTATTATTATTTGTGCTTTTTTGCGGTGCATTCCATTTTTAGACCCTGGTTTTTTCTACAGGTATATTATTCAGTCTATCAGCTTTATTGGTAACCTGTTTTACAAGCTGGAG